GCCCCCCGCAGGACCCTGCAGCCTCCCCCTGTCCTGCATCCATCCCACCATTGCCTCTGGCCCCCGCTGCCTCCCTCTTACAGCGCCCCCATCCAGGGCTTAATGGGTCCGGGGGCTTGCTGAGAAAAGTGATATTAACAAACATGCAAGTATCACTTTTCACGGCAGACTGACTAGCTGTCTTTGAAAAGTGATACCTGTATGTTTGTTAATATCACTTATCACCTTTCATAGCCTCCCAGGGAGCTACTAAGTGTGCTGTGATATTAACAAATATACAACTATCACCTTTCACAGCAAGCCCCAGGAGCCATTAAGCCCTGCGTGGTGGAGGGGCGAAGGGGGATGCAGCATTATTTTTGTTATTGACTCTGCCAAAAAACCCTACAAATATAAATGACAACGATTTGGATGTAAAACTCTGCCTATTTAATTGTTTTTCCTCAAATTAATTAAGTATTTTAGGAAAAAAGTGTCAGTGCGGCCACCAGTGAGAGTTGGTGTCTGCACTCTGAGGCCACCAAAAAATTGTTGTGAGAACCCCATGGCTAGGAATACGATCCCTGTCCATCCTGGCTAATAGCCATTGATGGACCGATCCTCCATGAATTTATCTAGTTCTTTTTTTAACCCTGTTATAATCTTGGCCTTCACAACATCCTCTGGCAAAGAGTTCCACAGGTTGACTGTGCATTGTGTGAAGAAATAAGAACATAAGAATGGCCCTACTGGGTCACACCAAAGGTCCATCTAGCCCAGTATCCTGTCTTCCGACAGTGGCCAATGCCAGGTGCCCCAGAGGGATGAACAGAACAGGTCATCATCAAGTGATCCATCCCCTGTCGCTCGTTCTCAGCTTCTGGCAAACAGAGGCTAGGGACACCATCCCTGCCCATCCTGGCTAATAGCTATTGATGGACCTATCCTCCATGAATTTATCTAGTTCTTTTTTGAAACCTGTTATGGTCTTGGCCTTCACAACATCCTCTGGCAAGGAGTTCCACAAGTTGACTGTGCGTTGTGTGAAGAAATACTTCCTTTTGTTTCCTTTGCCAGAAGCTGGGATTGAGTTACAGGACATTGATCACTTGATGATAACCTGTCTGTTCATTCCTTTTGGGGCAGGGACAGGATACTGGGCTAGATGGACCTTTGGTCTGACCCAGTATGGCCGTTCTTATGTTCTTATGTTTTAAACCTGCTGCATATTAATTTCATTTGGTGACCCCAGTTCTTGTGTTATGAGAAGGAGTAAATAACACTTCCTTATTTATTTTCTCCACTCCAGTCATGATTTTATAGACCTCAGTCATATCTCCCCTTAGTCATCGCTTTTCCAAGCTAAAAAGTCCCAGTCTTATTAATCTCTCCTCACACGGAAGCCATTCCAGATCCTTAATCATTTTGTTTTTCTGAACCTTTTCCAATTCCAATATATCTTTTCTGAGATGGGGCGATCACATCTGCACGCAGGATGCACTGCCGGGGCAGGGGTGTAACAGGTCTCGATTGCCTCAATTAAATGTCCGGAGAAAGAATATTTATATTTTGCCATTCCTCAGAAGTTCCCCATTACATTTCTCTCCTGCCTGCTGACTAGAGTGGGCCCCGTTCCCATGGATACTAAGGGTAGGCTACACTGCAGTCACAGGTGTGTCTAGCTCAGGTAGGCATACCCGTGCTAGCTTTAATCTAGCTAGTGGGACTAAAACGAGCAGTGAAGCCGCAGAGACACAGCCCCGCATGTGGGCTAGAAACACGAGTACGTACCTGGGGAGTCAGACGGGCTCGCGGATCTCACGCCGCCATGCGTCACTACTGTTTTTAGTTGTGCTAGCTAGGTTACAGCTAGTGCGGGTAGGGCAGCCCATGCTGCGATCACACCTCTCACTGCAGGGGGGACACACCCTGCGGCCATTCACAGCACCCTGGCCGTGTGAAGGGGCCTTTCCATTTACACTCGCTTTATTCTGACAGAGTGGTGTGAAATAAACTTTGTATGAATGATTTTAGATGCAGTGGAAATTCATTCAGCCCAGATGGAGTCTCATTTCCCCCTCTCTTTGCAGCCCCCTGCGCCTGAAGGAGAAGCTGCACGCCCTCCAGTGCCACTTCACCTGGAACTTTGAAATCAGAGACAAGGTAGATGCAGCTCACATCCTCCAAACTCTGGCTCACAGGATTGCCCACACTCCCCACCAGAACCAGCCCACGTTCCTTGCCATGCAGGCTTATCTCTACCACCTGCAAGGGCAATATGAAGACGCTCTGCAAAGCCTTAGAGAAGCCGAGGAGATTCTGCAAAGAGATCACCCAGATAACTTCCCCCGGCAGGTCCTGGTCATTTACGGAAACTACGCCTGGCTCTATTATCACTTGGCCCACTATGATTTGGTTGAGCTTTACCTGGACAAGGTTAGAAAGATCTGCAGCTCCCTGAAGAGCCGCTCTCCATATGCAGCTCAGATCCCTGAGATACATGCACAGAAAGGCTGGTCTCTCCTGGCAGCAGGCTTCCGCAATGGCAGAGAAGCCACAGAGTGTTTCCAAATGGCATTAAGAGAAGACAAAGCAAATGGGGAATTTCTTGCTGGGTTGGCAATCGCAGCCTTTGCATCATGGACTCACACACACAATTCTGCATCTTGGAATGCTGCCAGAGAGAAGTTGGGCGCCATTATCCGTGAACAGCAGCAAAACTATGAAGCTAAGGTGTATTTAGCCAAGATCCTTAAGAGGGCGGATAGACAGCAAGCAGAAGCCCTCTTAGAAGATGTTGTCCAGAATAGCCTGGACCCTGAGGTCCTGAGAAATGCAGCCATGTTCTTTCAACCAGAATTCATAGAAAAAACAATCTCTATTCTAGAGCGAGCAATATCTCTGAACCCCAATTATCACCTCCTTCACTATGACCTTGGTTATTGCTACAAGATACAGTTGAGAGGGGACAATTCCAGCAGAAGAGAAGAAATATTGGCAGCAGCTATTGAGGCCTTCAAAAAGGCTGTGCAAAAAGATCCAGCCTCTGTGTTTGCAAAGCTGGCTTTAGGTGAAATGTATGGAGAAAATACACCTCACTACCAAGAAGAGATTTACCTCAATCTCATGAGTGAAACACCCAACCTCAGCAAGAAGTGTCAGCAGGCAGTCTACCTTCACTGGGGAAATTTCCTCTTGTACAAGAAGAACTCAGTGCGGGAGGCAGCTCAGATGTACAAAGCAGGTTTCGCCATTCCAGACAAGTACGTGGAGAGGCAAAAACTGAAAAAGAAGTTGGAAAAGATGGCAGAAATATTCCAGCAGCACTCCCAAATCACTGAGGCTAAGGCCATTCATGACTTCATTCAAGAGACTGAAAGTCAGTCTCTTGAATAAAGGAGGAAGTCCACTGGTGGCAACAACAGAGCAGGAGACTGGAGATGTGGAGACAATGTAGGATCCTTTCCCTTCCCTGGACACACCAAGATCTCCTTCTGAAGTGAGTCACTTTCCCCACCTGTGTAACAATGACATTCGTGTTGCAAATGATTCTGGGTCCCCTGAATACTTCACACCACGGCACATGCTGCTGTTGCTTCTTATAATTATTATTAGCTACCTGTATTGTGATAGCGCCTAGAAGCCCAGACATGGACCAGGACCCCATTGCGTCTGGCCCCAACGAGTCTTCAGTCTGTGACCAGAGACAACCGGAGGGAACCAGCAGACAGACGGGGTAGCACAGGCAGACGATACTGGTCAGCAAAATGGACAGTGGTCTCGGCCCACCACCTACCCAGCCACTGTCAAGTGTTTTGTGAGCATCACCGCAGAGGAGAGTTTAGCTTCTGATACTGAGCAGCTGTTTCTACCCAGAGGGGATGGTGCGACCATCCTCGTCTCTAAGCAAACCGACCTCCCTGCTCTGCTGCCTTCTAACATCCACGCAGCAGATAGGTGTGGAGTTTCTTCGCACAGCGTTGAGTTCTTGTATGTGCATAGCTGAGGGCCTGTAGTGTGTCTATATCATGAGTCCCATCTTTGCTTTCTGCACCTCTCACGGGCAATGACTCACATTTACATGGCACCTTCATCCCCAGCTTGTCAGGGAACTGCTATGTTTTTATTTCATTTACAATAAAAGTAACTGAGAAAACAGAAATAAATCAATTGCACCATCTTGGAACATTCCTTTCCCTGCCCTTCGATTGCATCGGGGTGAGCAGCACACACAGGACCCCACGGGTGTGTCAAGCTCACAGTAAAGCACCGTGACAGTCACTAATAG